ATCACATGTAGCCTGTCATTCAAAGTCTTTTGTCACCATCAGATTAAAGTCTAGTCAGCATATTCCAAGATTTAAGAACAGCTGTTTGGTGATCCATTTGTACATTTGATGATGCATTCAGGTTCACATGGGGTTAAAATCACAGTCATATACAACAACCAGGTGCAGTCCACATGGGTGCCAAGAAATTAACCAACAGAGTCTTATAATTAATCCTCAACTTTACGGGAAGCCAATGGAAGAAGGCCAAGATGGGTGTAATGCTTTCTCCTCCCTGATGCCCGTGAGATGTTGAGCCAGCAGCATTTGAAACTAGCTGGAATATATGATGACTGTGCTGCTGGAATAAACTGGGAGTTACGGCTGTTGGGCTCAGGTAAAAAGACAGACATTGGTAATGGTGTCTATATTCACAGTTTTCTTTTGAAGTTAACAAGTTAATGTGACACAGAGATAACTTCCAAATCTTTATTTTCTATTTTTCTCACCAGATTTCTTTTTCTGTTGTCGGATTCTACTTAAACTTCAGAACAGTCATAACAGACTGAACTAAATGAAACATGGCCGTTACCTCATTTGGTCTTGAATATTTTCACACGAAGAAAGAACTGTCAGACACATGCTGACTCAATTACCTCCCTACTTCCATGTGTGCTTTTATGTTGTAGCTTTAACCAAACTGGATGAAATAGTCATTACCATGCAACTGCACTTCTTTTGATTTCTGTCTCACTATCGGAGAAAAGCTTTGTTGAGGAGCTAATGCCTGCTGATTGACTTACCAAAGTATGACACTGCCATTAGTTTGGACAAGTTAAACGGCTGCGGCCATACAAAAACACACACAGTTTCAAGTTCAAAGGACAAAGTTGGAAACTTTCTTCCATGTGCACTTCCAAATAATGGAAGCATATAACGTATTACTTATCTTTAAAGCTAAGCTGTTAAATGGCCCAAATCAATTTAAAGAAAGTGGATCTGCTGATGTTGAAGAGGCCAAGTTTAAACAAACTGGGTGCATGTGGACCCCCAAGGGAGTCTGACAACACACACTTTACAACCAGAATGTATTCAGGCAAACATTGATCCTCCTCTTCTTCCTTACACAGATACATAATGAGCTGTTTATCAACTCAACACATGCAACACTTGATTTACCAATATAGCAGAAATACTGAGATTTATAATGTAACACATTTTATCTACCTTTTTAAGGTATCTGATAATTTGGCAACTTTTTAGAAAAATATAAATCACTTTTAGCTGCAGGGCTTAAAGTAAGAAAAAGATATAATATAACAAACCACTTTGTCAAGGTAAACTTGGGATCTCCCCCAGAACACCAAACATTTATTTTCCTGCAGTCCGATACATTTTTTTAAGCACCAATTTGTGACTTCACTGCAAAATTTTATGCTTGTGATCTTGTGTTTTCTTTCTTCAAATCTCTTTTAGTCTTCATCAAACACATGTTCACACAATGACAAATGCATTCATCTGAATATTTGTATACACATGTGGACTAGACGGCTGTGTTTCTGCTCTATTCCAGCAGAATTTCTAAATCTTTAAACTAGTGACACATCATGAAAATAAAAAAAATAATGTGATTAATTTCTGCGACACATGGTCATGCAGTGAAGACATGATCTCAATTATTTTTAGTTGTTTGTGTTTGTTTGTTTAGAGGGACAGTTTGAATGACAGACACACTTGTACCTTCCCGAGCACAAGTTCGAGTTTGAGAGATCAATCCCTTACTAGTGAATTGATCTCAAATGCCAATCATATGGGCAGAAAATAAACCTTGGCTGCATGCCTACCACAACGTGCTAAAAAGACATAGATAGATCAAACACTGTCTATTGTTGCCAAAACTGGAACTGCCATTTTCCACTTCTGATTGGCTAACACTGCTAGTTGGGTAGGTTGAGAGTGAGAGCTGTGGTACTCTCATACCAGTGGTAGCTGAAATCCATTGTCTTGACCTTGATAAAGCCCATTCACATCAAATTCCCATGTGTATTCATAGTTATTATGAATAAAGAAATCAGAATTGAGCATTGAGGCTTGCAGGTTGAAGCCTATGTTGCCAGTTTAATTGCACTGAATGTTCCCTAGACAATATAAAACTCCTCAGTGCAAAACGTTTGACAGCTCCATTGTAGCTTCCAGAATGACTAAAATTGGTTTCACACTCAAAAGGGTGAAATAGAAATTCAACATTTCAGCATTCATGAATAGTTTGTTCTTATTTGGCTGACTTGGTTGAATTAGCTAAAGGCTAAATGATAAACTGATTACTTAGTGTACACATTTTTTGAAAACTAGGCCATGAATTGTTAAAAAAAAAAAAAGTTTAACATACCTCCTGATACTGGTGCATCCATAAAAACTGCCCCTGTCTTCTCCGCAGCAGCAGCCATGTCTTTAGAAACAGCTGGGTCAATGGTGCTGGAGTCAATAAGCAGAGAGCCTTTCTTCACCTTCCTGTTGAGAAATGTACATAATTAAGAATCTGACTTAAATCCATAATTTCACACAATCAAAGAGAAGCAAACGCTTACTTGAGAATGCCATTGGGTCCAGTGTACACATCTATCACATTGGGACTAGAGGGGAGCATAGTTATAATGCGGTCAGCCTTGTCTGCTACTTCAGCAGGATTATCCACAATCTGTGAAAAAAAAAACACAGTGTGAGGAGAAAATGCACAGGTCAAGTTCTTAAAAATGTAAACAGCTAATATGAATTGCACCTCACCTGAGCTCCCAGCTCCTGCAGCTCCTTGCAGGACTCCGGGAAAACATCAGTAGCAATGACTGGGTAACCGTGCTTCAGCAAGTTCTTTGCCATCGGGTTTCCCATATTGCCCAGACCAACAAACCCCACCTGTGTCTTAGAGGCCATAGACCTTGTGGAGACTACAACATAACAGCCAAAATAGATCAATGATTTAACACAGTGTAACCTTCTTCAAGGACAATAATGCTTGTCTGCGAGTCAAGTATGCAAACATTTTTTTGCGGACAGATTTGATTTTGTACCTTCTTAAATAGTAATAATAAAAAAGAGCTTTTCAAGCAATGACAACCCTTTCTAAGATTAGTGTATTTTAAGCTGCAAATGTACGTTTCCTATAGGTATATAAAAGGAAAGTTTAAATTTCCTTTAGATATAATCTCCCTTCTGTCCAAATGTCCTCAGCTATATCATCAGCCAGGCATTTGTCAGTATGGGTTTAGATCCTACTTCATAACAGAAAACTCAAAACACATATTTGTGGATTCAAAGAATTAAGACAGAGAAATAGCCTTACCCCTTCAATTGATCTCCACAAAAATTAAAGAAGGACAAGAATATATGTTTCAATGTATGTGTTACTACAAGGTATTTGGCAGCATACTATACCAAAACAATATATTCTGGTTGTTCAAACTGAACGAGCATGCGCACTAGAGCCAGCAATAAAGATACTTTGTTACAAGGTGAACAGAATAGGATGGATAAGTTGCCCCATCAGAAGCTTTTGTGTTCTAGTGGCTACAAATAGCCTCCCCAATCGCCCTTCACTAGAAGAGCTACTAGACAAAGTAAATTACAGTGATTGACATTACATAATGTACCTTAAACAATAAGGCAGCATACAGTAGGACACAACAGCGTATACAAACAATTTGACCTGTCAGCGTTTTGAAACTCGAATCGCATTAGATGATAGTTTGTAGGTTGCTTACAATAAGTATTTTTAAAAGAAAGGTTATTTAACCAGCAGAATGTGAGCTGAAGCCTGTGCAAGTGAAGCTAGCGACAACTCAAAACTTATCTTCAAATATTTAAAGCAAAAGTTGTTTTCGTGTTTCAGAGAGGCTTAAAGTAACAACACCAGCTTCTATAGTAAGTGCAGCAAGGTGCATTATGTGTACATAGTTTTAGTTTGTTGTCCTTACCAGACGCAAAGTCGACATTTCTGCAACACCTTCCAACTATGTACCGAGACCCTCTCAACACAGCGGCCATGCTTCTTTCCTCTAGACCTACGTAGAGGACGCAGTGAAACGTCATTTAATGGCGCATTTGTCCTCCAATCAAATCAAAGACATGAGCTGCACTGCCTCCCAGTTTCAGCCACTTAGCTGAAGGGGAGGGCCTTCGAGCTGTGCTCTCATACAAACTACAAACTGTTAATAATACTATAGATGAGTTCATCTAAACAAGGGGTGGGCAACTGGCGGCCCGGGGGCCACATGCGGCCCCCATCAACCCTCAATGTGGCCCTCAGGTCAATTTTTACATATCAATGAATTGGAAACATGAAGAAAATGTGACAAAATCTGCCATGAAATCATGAAAACCAGAAATACATCCATAATAATATTTGATCACTGGCATATGTTGAGTTAAATTTGAGACATAATTTTTTTTTTTTTTTTTTTTTTTTAAATAATTGATTCATAATTAATCGTTTTTGTATTCTACAATTTGGCCCTTTGGCAGGGAGAATTAATTGAATGTGGCCCTTGCCGTGACCAAAGTTGCTCATCCCTGATCTAAACTCACCTATAGTATTGTATCACCTAATGAAACTGCTAAAGTAAAAAAATATGCATTAAAACCTTGCCAAAGTTAAACTATTACCATTATTAAGAACACGTAAATTCAATATAATTAGTATATCTACTCCTCATTTTAAAATATTTTTACGTTCACTTACGTCTGAAAACACAACTTCAAAGCTAATATAATCTTTCCCATTGGAATCATTCTTCTTTAAATATGTACTACAGTGTTATTGTCATCATGATATATTGTTTACTTTAGTTAACAACAATTCTGTGTGTTAGACACAACCATAGACTGTAAATATTAAGGTCACAACCATAGACTGTAAATATTAAGGTCACAACCATAGACTGTAAATATTAAGGTCACAACCTGCTCTTTCGGGTTTTTGGACGGGTGGGATTCCCAGGTCTCTCCCGGAAGTGACGTAGCCCACTGTTGTTATTATTCCAGGAAGAGGACGCGGGGAAAGCACTGAACTGCGTCAACAATTGTTTTTATGATACTTTCAAATTCCAGGTGTAATTCGACATGGCAACTGGGTACGTTTAATGATTATTTTACAATTGTAGCTTATAACAAAATCATTGTTCATATTATCATCGTTTGAAGTGTGTTTTTTGAGCTGTTTACGTTGGCTAACCTTGTGGTAGCATCGCTCTCTGGTTAGCCCTTCTCTTTTTCACTAAGGGCATTGTCATGATACTTGTTTAACGCCGTTTGTTTCACCAGTCAAAGGTTACATTTCGACTTGGTAGTTTATACATTACACTTAATCGACTGCCCATTTGCCTTTAAATATACCCGTGTTAAAGTGTGTAACCATCGTTAGCTAGCTAGCTGGCCATTGCTAACACAGCGAGATATGATCTCTGTTTTAACATTAGGCCTGACCTCCTAAAGCTTGACTTTATTTCAGAAATTCATGTTAAGTTTTCATTTTTTTTTTTTATATTTAGGGTTACATAACCGTGTGACATTTTGTGATTTGAGTAAATGATAAACATGTGTAGCCTTTGTGATTGTAAACCGAGCTAAATGTTTTGACTCAGGCCTGATTACGTCTGTCAAAATAATATCTGCCGAGGCCCAAATCATAACAATCATACTCAAATGGAAATCTCTTTTGAGTTAGGTTGAAATTAACATCAGATGCATCAAGGGGAGTGTTCTGTTCTTTAATTTGTTTATTTAATTTAAACCATTAGGTTCTTCATGTATTAAATTTATTGTCAGAAATGTAAGTTACCAGTTTTACTTTCCAAATAGGTCAAATGTAATTAATCAGATGGATAAATACTTGAGTTTAAAATAATCGAATTCATTTGGAAGTATTTTATTAGAATGAACACACTTGAATACTTTGTATTTTATCAGTTTTATCAGAGTAACCATGTGTCAGCAATCGAAATAATAAAAAAATCATTCCATTACCTTGTTATTTAACAGGAACTTGTTACTTGAGTTATTATTAAATACACTCCTAGAAGACACCAAATAATGGTGTAAAACGTGTTAGTGTGTTGAAAGTGAAACGTGATCATTTGTGCTGTAGATCTACTCTCTGCTTGGGTCTCCCAATGACAGATTTCCATTCTGGTTGTCAATTGAGGGACATTTATTTGAGGCAAACTAGGATTTCTTTTTACTTTACACTTTTAAATTATGCTTATTGATCATATAATATTTCACAAGAAAAAAATGAAGTCTTTGTTAGCATGTGTAAATCTTAAAGTAAAGTTTGAAATGAGAAAAGAGGAATGAGACACATTTCCTTATATAGAGATATACTGTATTTTTTCTGATTACTTGCTATGGTACTGTTCTATTATCAGTTGAATGGTTAAATTTGATTTGATTCTATAACAATAGTTCACAGTAATTGTAGGATTCCAATCGGTCAATCTGTTCCTGTTTTGTAAACTGCATTGCTTGCTTATTTCGTTTTCCCTTTTGCTTTATTTATCACATATTTTATTGCCGGTTTCTTCTTTTACAGCCACTGCTGAGTGATTTATGGCACTGTTCCTGGAAGGGACTTTACTAAGCAACAACATGGACACATCAAATTTTGCTCACGTCATCTTCCAGAATGTGGGTAAGAGTTACCTGCCTCATGCTGCGCTGGAATGTCACTACACCCTGACGCAGTTCATCAAACCTCATCCCAAAGACTGGGTCGGCATATTTAAGGTGAATAAAACTTGTGCACTCTTTTCCATGTATGATGAAAGCTCTGAAGAATATCAAAGTTGTCAAATAAATATTGTGTTTTTGGGCTGAGCTTTAAATTGAACTTGCTTGAGGGTTTTGATAAAATGTGTCGATAATCGATAATGAAAGGTTTTCTCAGAGGATACATCAACAGAACCATTAGACAGCAGAGGTAGTGACAGCAGAACGTTAGTCTGCATTGTTTGCTTGCATGGAAGTAAACAAGAAAAGGTGAAAATAAAAAGTGGTTCCCTTGTCTATAGGTTACAAAAAAAAATGTTAGTGTTAAAGGAGAACTCCTGCTGTCCTCCAAAGACGAGGGTTAGGTAATTGTTGACAAAAATGAACATTTAGTTAACTAATGGATAAAATTAGTAGCAAACATCCCCCTATGATGAAATTCCTGCAATTGTTTTAGAACATTTTTTATTTCTCAGTTGAATTCATTCAGTGTGTTTGTTTTTATGGGGAACAGACATTTGCTGATAATTCAGCCTGAAGCTCAACTCTCAGCCCCTCCTAACTGGTTTTGTAGATAGGTTGGAGTTCAAGAAACACTCATTTTCAAATTAAAACTTCTGCATTTAAAGTTTATTCTTACTTGAGTTACATGTGCTTTGGAAAACAATTAAAAATGTAGCCTTTAAACTGCACCATACATTTTAAGCTCATACTAAATAACTATAGTCCAACTGTAACCAATGTGCCACCTTGTGTTTCAGTCCTCTGTAATGAACTGGATACTCCTCAATCTGAAAGCATATTACATTGTTATCAACATTCATCCTGAGCAATATGAGAAATCAATTTTGTGCTCGTACCCTAAAACCATCCTGCCCAGCCCTTTAATGATTCAAGCAGCTGTGGTAGAAAATGTTTTACAGTGTGTACTCTAGTGATCAAAGCATTTTGTGCATGATGAGGTTGAAGGTTAATTTCTAATACACTGTTTTATTACTCTAGTTGTACAATATAGTGGTGATATCTTGGCAAGCGTAGTATGACTTTAGCTTTATATATCGTGTCTTTGGACCCTTTGCAGATTTACTGCATCGTTTGATTTAGCAGATATTACAGTTTTTAGATAATACAAATAAGTTGGCAGAGCATTGATTCAATGGTGAGTTAAACTGAGAGATTGTAAGATCTTTATGTTCAAGTTTTTGTTGTTTTAAATGAGCTTAGCAGAGGGTAAAAAACATTCAGAGTTCCATAGTGATCTTGTTATAAGAGTACATTGAATACAATACAGTGGCACTAATGTATTATACATTCAGATAGTGAGTCTGCAAGTAGTCCACTGTAGACCACATGTTTTTTTTTTATCTGCCAGAGTTTTGATAACATCAGATAAAAAAACTGTTTGTTTTGCATTCCTCCTGAATGTGCCGTGTCTCTATTTGTATGATACCATACTCTTGACAGGTACTGTATGCAAATAGGAAAGTAGAGGCAGTTTGTCATAAATGTAAGATATTTAACTTTTTCACATCTTTGCAATATTAGGAAAAGCCCTGTATAATTGTGTCTGCGGAAAATATGAATGATTCACTCCTTTGTGCTATTCATAGAAAGTATGTGGTGTTGGGAAGGGGACATAGGGTGAGGAATATGCAAAAGAGAGAAATTAGGTCAGGTGAGGCAGCCGGCGGTTGATCAAGTAATGTCCAGAGGCTATTAAAATCTCGCATTCAGCACTCTTTTGGGGCAGGATGCCACATCACATTTTGTTTAGCCTCAAGGAAGGCACCAACTGGCAGTGTAGATGTAAAATTACTAATTGTTTGAGCCTCTAAAATAGAGCTGAGCTGGAAAAGGCTGAGTCCAGGCTGGTAAATCGTGTAAATGTTCCTGGTAGTGCTGACAAATGAGAAGATTGGTGCCAAAGTCTTGCATTTCTACAGAGAGAAATCAGTAGACAGATGTGCACCAGTGTTAGGCCCTAAACCGCACATATAGTCACTTTTGGCTAAGGGGCCATCAGATGAAATGTGAAACTGTCTATAAAATTGCTTGAATATTTTTTTATTTTGAAAAATGAAGACAAATACATTTCAAATGAACAATTATCTCATTTTGATTGAATACTTTTAGCTGTCAACTTATTAAAATCTTAATCAGTGAATGAATAAAACAATTTAAAAAATGCTATTGACGATTAAAAGATAACAGGTTTTTACATGAGTACGGCACTAGCCTTGTATCTTAAAAGAAAGTTAACAAGCAACACGTTGTCTTAGAAGTTGTTTCTGGGCATGCAGGAGAATGCTGTTGGAACAGGTTGGCTTAGTGCCTGGGAGAAAGTTTGTGCAACTTTATAATTAATCATTCTGAGCACAACCTCTCAGTGTGAAATGAATCATGAGTAACTCACTCCTAAATATATGAAGTGTGATTGACACAGAATACATGATCTCCTGCAGCAATAGTCTCATTGGCAATGTATAGGGCTTTAGTGTATGCTGATCTACTGTCATGTTTAAGTAAACTTAACATGTTGCATCAATTTGTAGGCACACAAGATTTCACAATCATTGTGTGCCAAGACGTTTTGGTATTCATAGAAATTGTCTTGGTGTTTTGGTGCATCACAATACACACAGAAACGACTCTTGTGTTTCACTTCAGTCAGCCACCAGTCAGGTTTTTATGGTGCCTCTGTCTGTGCCATCTCTACCTTCTCTACTTACTTTCATACACGTTACAGACCTGTCTGTTCTAAGTGAAAGAGTTCCTCTCAGAGTTTGCACTCACCACCACCTCTGCTGCTTTAATGAGTGGACTGGTAAGGGCTAGCCTTGAGTAACGACACCCACTAACTAGGTGCAAGTTTTAATTGCTTCCTGTTCTTTACTGCTGGAGGTTGGAACTGCACTGGTAAAGAGTGGGGGTTTTCAAGCACCAGGGCCCTCTATCTCTGGCTCTCATGAACACTTTCAGTATTGAAGCTTTAGGCAGTTTTCTACACAGGTGAGAAAATGAATCATCCAGCAACATCTGCTCCACAGCATTTATTGAAATCTGATCCATCTGTATGAATACTTTGATTATAATTTTGAAAGTGGTATCGCACAACTTAAGCTCTGTGCTATGACTGGGGCTGATGTAAAAGACTGGTTTCATGGTGCGTGTGCCCGAGTGTGCACACCGAGAGCCAGCCAGCCTCAAGTGACTCTGATTTTGTTTGACAGTTTTATGGCACTGGTCTGAAGTTATGGATGTATTTTCTGTACTCCCCCTCATCAGCGATCAGTTAACAACACATAAAATATGTATAATTACATTTTGGTTTTTATTTTCAAGTCACCTGTGTATAAAATTTTCACCTATTTTCCTCTTCCTGTTAGAAGTGAGTTGTGGCTGCATTTCAACAGTTTGGCTTGTTCATGACAAGGGCTCGTGGTCACCTGCTGTATGAGTAGTTGACAGAAAGAAAATCCCAGTCCCCTCGTTGGCCTTATCGGACAAAGACTATTACCTCTACATATATAGTTTTTTTAAAACATGATAAGTCTTACAAACCAGTTTGAGATATTTTGCAAGAAGCAATGTGGATTTTAGAAAGTCTTCCTGTTATTCCTCCATTGTTATTATCCTACACTGATGTGGTAAGAACGTCTGGTTGAATGGATTTCCTTCAATGTCTCACAGGTTGGTTGGAGCACAGCGAGAGACTATTACACATTCTTGTGGTCGCCTCTCCCTGAGAACTATGTGGAGGGAACCACAGCCAACCGAACAGTGGTCTTTCAGGGTAAGATCATACTACGGCTTCATATAACTTTAACACCTTTTAATAACCTGATGTCAGAGGGCGGTTTACAGGATTGTCAAAACTTAGATACCAAATCAGTGGTGTGGAATGAATGAGAAGTTTTTCTCCACAGATTGCTGGTCTGTTGTTTATTATATTTCAGTCACTGTGTTTAAAAAAATAATATTTTTTATGCAGAAATGGAAAAAAGGGAGGACATGTCTTATATACTCAAGTTTATATCAACAATACCATTCTTAATATCACAAATAGCTTTTGTTTGACTCTGTACCGCTGAATACTGACTTCACTGACTGGATGAACATTTTCCACAGGATATTATGTGCCCAACGATGACGGTGAGTTCTACCAGTTCTGTTACGTGACCCACAAAGGGGAGATCCGGGGAGCCAGCACGCCTTTCCAGTTCCGCGCCAACAGCCCTTCAGAGGACGAGCTGCTGACAGTGGAGGATGAATGCAACTCTGACATCCTGGTGGTCACCACCAAGGCCGGTTTCTTCGAGGTACAGTTTTGACAAGGAAGTAATTCACAGAGGAAACAAAATTGAACACACACTATTAAAGAGTTGTGTAAGGAAAGGAAGGTAATAATACAGATGACCCAAACAGCTTGAACAATGTATCTCTCCGTACGCAGCAAAAGATGGAAGAAGCCCAGAGAGAGAAAGAAGAGTTGGTCAAAAACATGGCCCTCCTGCAGCAGGAGAAGGATCAGCTGGAAGCTGAGAAGGAGAGTCTGCAGAAGGAGTTTGAACAGGAGAAAGAAACCTGTGTCCAGCTGAGACGAGAGAACCACGTAAGCCCAGAATGAACTAATGGACTTTTTTTTTCAGGAAGAGAGGTGTTCCAGTAGTGAGGAGTGAAGAAGGTTGTCTGTTGCTGTTAGAAATATGTTGTCTTTAAAACAATAGGGTTTGTTCCCTTTTTTGTTGCATACTTTAGTTCCTCCTGGGTTTTGACTTTGCTTATCTAACAGCATAAAATGGATTATTCAAGGATTTTTTTTACATTTGTCCAAACAGTCTCTTAGCCCCCCCTAGTGAAAGACTGCAAATATGCAGAGCTACTCTAACTGGTGATGCCTACAAAGTATAAATCACACGCTGACAGATGAGAATGTCTGTATTATCAAAGTTATTATACGGACTTTTATAGTGTAACATGAAGTCTTAAAAGCTGTGTAAGTAATTATTCTTATAGCTGTCCTCTATAATAAATCTGCTCGATTTGAAATGGCTTTCAGATGAAAACATGATTACAGATTTTGTGGCTGTTAATTTTATGACTATACTTTTATATGATTTTTTTATGTGGTGTGAATATTAAGATTCCAGAATGTACCCTATAAACATACTGTAAAATAATGATTTCCTTTTTCTTTTTCTTGTCTTTTTTTAAGTTTAAGAACACATCAGAGAGACATAATGTAAAGTTGATTTAGACATTTCAAAGACGATAAACGTTTAATGTTTTACAGACACTTTCCACAAACTGAAAATCACAGACAGAGAGGGAATGTGGTGAATGTGTAGGAAGCTACTCTTTTCTCATTGAGTTGATCCACACTTGATTTATGACAACGTTATGGATGAAACTGATTCCACAATACACAGGGTTTTGCCATTTTCCAGTCCTCCTCAGTTCTTGTTTGTAAGTTTGTATTCTATTGTTTCTCAGGAGGTGCAGAATTCATCCCATGCCCTCCAAGAGGAGAAAGAGGAGGTAAAGAGGAGGCTGGACGAGGCCACAGCCAGAGTTATACAGCTGGAGGAGGACTTGATTGGAGTCACTCAGAAGGGCCTTCAGAAAGAAACTGAGCTGGACAAGTGAGTTAAAGATTGATAGGTTGTTGTTAAAGAGTTACAGAGACACTGGTTTTGGAAGTACGGTATAGTTAGAGTTGTTTATTTAAATTAGCAGAACACCAGATAAAGCGAATAAACTCACACAAAAATTGTCTTTGTGTTTTTTTTTAATCTGAGCATTAAGTCTTTGACAAGTTTTGTTCAAATGAAACATTTAGATACGAGCTTGAAGTCTATCTGTTACATTTACTGAAGGGGGTCACGTTAGAATTGTATTGACCTTATTACTTTGTCAAGATGAGAAGAAAATCACTATATATTTTTTATTTTCAACAGCAGCTCGTTCTATGTACGAGTGCAGCATAAATACATTAACCACCCTATAAGAAAGGATATTATGGTCAATAATCAATTATTCCAAAGACTGAATGAAGACAGACGTTATGGGGTTTTGATCTCTTCTGATCTCTTTTCAGTCTTAGGGATCGAGTGAAGAAGCTAACAGCTGAGAAGGACTTGCTTGAATCCCATCTGAAAAATGAGAAAGATGAGAAAGAACTGTACAAGGTAATGTCTTTTTCTTTTATCTTTTTAAGCCCAAAAAGTTTAATTCTTAGAATTTTTCCTGTGTGAGAATCATTAAAACATTGTATTATATCACATCAGTATTAAGAACTATATTTGTTTTTCAGGTTCAGGTAGAAAGCAACAAGGTCCTTTCATTTGACATGATTTTTAGGTTCGAGGGGGTGGGCTTAGCAGCGGTTTAGCTGATTCGTATTTTAGGGACAGTTTTACAATTTGTACATATGAGAGGCTTCAGAAATGGAGGTCCAGTTAATAGACTTTTCCTGTTTTTTCCCCTTTTTACCACCGTGATAATTCTGCACATTCTCATAGAAACATTTAGCCCAAACAGGCCATGCCTTATTCAGTCTTCCTCTGGTCCATCTGGTGTTTGTTTGTCTTTGTTGTGGTGGGCACCACACAGGAACTGGGAGTGCCACACAAACAGTACTGTCGCCACGGAAATGGAGCAAAAGACCGTACCTAATTTAACTTGCACCATCACACTGGGGCTTTTGCAAAAATCCAACTTTATGGGCTTATCACAGACTCTGTTTTGTAATCGAGGTCATGCAACATTTACTTTATAGTCATATGCTCTTTGGTACATGATCATGGCTGGTGTGTGTAAAACGACTGTGTGTTTTATAACTTCACTTGTGTTTTTATAACTCCTTCTGTGTGTTTGTGTACATGTGTACTCAACAGATTCACCTAAAAAACCGGGAGCTTGAAAACACTAAATTAAGTGCAGAGCTGCAGATGCTGAAGTCTGTGGACGTGAACAAGGAAAACACAATTGCCCAGTTTAAAGAGGAGGTGGGACGTCTGCAGGCATGCCTCACTGACAAGGAGAAACAGTACAGAGAGATCCTGGCCAAAGTTCCCCCCTTGGTACAAAGACCTTTCCTGTAAAACGTTAAACAGTCACAACATATGGATCGATTTGTTAAACAGTGTTTAACTTTAGAAATTCATATATGTAAACATTAGTGATATGTTTATTCAAAGATAAATAACGGCCAAAAATATGGAAAGGCAAAAAAATCTCCAACCAAATAATGTCTGTTTCCTGCAGGGAGATATGAAGGCCCTGAAGGAGCAGCTGCGGCAGAAGGAGGAGCAGCTCCAGGCCAACCAGCAGCAGTCCTCCTTGTTAGCTGCTGAGCTGAGGGACGCCTCCAGCACCAGAGACCGTACCATGTCTGAGCTCTACCACATGAAGCTGGAGGCAGATGCCCTCCGTCAGGCCAAAGCTGAAGCTCAGGCCCAGTGTGCCCGTCTGGAGCGCCTGGTGGAGCAGATGAAGGCAGAGGCAAAGCAGGAAGCTGTAAGGAGGATAATCAATCTAAGTGTTTATCAATTCAACTAGCTCTGTAGGGAAAATGTCATTCATTAAAACATACAGTATGTTTTTAAAATACAGGTAGGCACGGGGGATTCTTTATTTCTGATCAGCAGTGAGGCAAAATCTTTGGAGAAAGATAGATGAAAGATATTTAAAAAACTAATAATCATGTAAAATCCAAAATAGACAAATAGACGATCTTATTTCATGAGAACCTATAAGTTGTTCATTATTTTTTTTTAACTACATTTAGTAATAAAATATACATCACTTTAACAGTTACAGTTTCATTTAGCAATAATCTACCCCCAAATAGAAGGTTTAATGATTAAACATCATGACTGTGTAGTTTTATTTTCTCTTTCATATTCTGTATGTTTTGAGTTCTTGTGATACTACTCTGAAAGAAGATCTAATTAGTATAAACACAAACAAAAGTCTCCCTCCCAAATGGTTCTGTCAAAGGCTGTGATTCCTTTGTTCAAACTTCCACAGATTAGTTTACACGGCAGCCGTAGTGTCACCACACATCTACCACGTAATACATAGAGGGGCGCTGGTTTGCTCGTGAAATAAGAAACATTCAAGATGACAGAAACAGCTCGGAAAAATCACCTTACCTGTTTAACATTTTTTATTTCAATGAAAACACCAGTCTGAAAAAAACTAAGGAAGCCTGGCTTCACTTGGCTTCCAGGAGAAAACGTCACTGGTCACAATATCTGTCCCACTCTGGAAACTTTTCATTGACCCCCATGATTGTTAAAAAATTATCGGATAGTTTTTTTTTTTTAACTGTAAAATGTAGCTAAAATACTTTGTAGATTATTACTTTCGATCATAAAGTTGTTAAATGAGAAGGGATCTCTTCTCCCTGTGTTTGGATCTGATCTGTTGTGTCGTAATGATTATTTATCACTAGGCCAAAGCAGAAGAGGAAGCGGCTGCAGACCCAGCTGTTGTAGCAGAGCTGCAGAGAGAAGTGGAGGACCTGAAGCTGCGGCTGCACATGGCAGCAGAACATTACAAGGAGAAATACAAGGAATGTCAGCGCCTGCAAAAACAAGTGCTGAGACTCTCTGAACAGCCAGGGGTATGTCCCACCAGATGCCAGAAAAAACATCAAATATATACGTGTGCCTGGAAAGTGAAAGAACAGAACCAACGTTAAATCCCACTTGTCATTCTGAGTTGCTTTTTTTGTAGACTTACTCTAGGATTAGATACATTCATATTTATCACCATTGAAAACATTCACTCATGTACATTTTATGTCTCTTTGCAAACTCATACAAAAACTGTTCCTGTCTGTATCAATATTTGGTCATGTGATCCTCTTTGATTTAACTAAAGCCCCTGTCAGTTAAAAGGTGTTTCTTTCTTCTAGTCGAATTTAGAACTAATTTTAAACTAATTTCAAGCACTTGTTTTTCTGTCTGTAGGATGTTAAGAGAACCTCAGTTCAAGAGGCAACATTACTTCCTGCATCAGGGAGTCCAGATACATCAGTACCAGGTACATTATACTTAACTTTTCCAAGATGTAAGGTATGGATATTAACTTCATGAGCAATAAACTTGGATTATGTGTTAAGGTTATGTAAGTTTACCAGCTGTGTAATTTCATAGGTATAGCCTTGTATTCTTCCTTTTTAGGTCAGTCAAGTAATCATCATAATGTAGATGCTGGTCTTAAATATAAAATAAATCTGTAAGCGGATAGAAATAATATGTCATTAAGTATATTACTTGGTGTCAGTTAGTCATTATAATGATCGATAGATGAATCAATAATAATCACATCATATACCAACAGTTGCTTTGTGTTTACTTCACAGGGAGTCCAGGTTCAGCTGATCCCATGCTGGAAGCCATCATCCAGGAAAAGCTCAAAGGCATCAGCAGAGAGGCGTCTGACAGGAACGACAAATACAGAAAATGCAAGCAGATGCTGGTGGTAAGAAACGTGACATTTACATTTAATTTAATGATAATGTTTTGAAATATAGTTCAAGACTAATGTTCTCCAAAGGTATGGCTCACATGATGTACTCTGCATTTTAAAAGAGGAATATCCTTTTTAATGTGTGTCTGCTGTTCAGGAGGAGAAGGAGCGTAGCTGCATGTTTGCTGATGAGCTGGCAAAGATGGAGGTGAAATTTAAGGAGCAACTGAAGACCAATGAAAACCTGAAACTGCAGTTGGCAGCAGAGGAAGATCGCTATAAGGTCAGCTCATCTGACGACGGTTCAGACTACAGACATTTTGCGCTGCACTCTGGTTGGTTTCTAGTAGTGAGGCTCTGTTGCTTTCTATGCAGGTTTGTCTCTGTCTGCTTACTGTGTGTTGTTACCTCTGAGTATGGCTGTTCTAGCTCAGGGTTGGAGCCTTTGATGCTATCTCTTCTTGAACACACTCGCTCTGACAGTGTTGTTTATGAGAAGGCCTATCAGCCGAGACGACATTTTACTGCTGTTTATGTCAGGCTCTGCAGACCAGCTCAGCGAGACTCTGAAGAGTCATCTCCAGTTGCCGGGCTAATGCCGTGCTTGGCTCAGGTCAGGCGGATATTTGCTTAGTGTCTCCAAGGAATTCAAACAGGTTGTTTTGCTTGGAGGCATATTGTACATAAATCAGTCCTCTGCTAAGAGAAGGCTTTTTTACGGCCTCGTTCAATTAATGTTAAGCTCTGAGATCTGACAGAATTTCAGTGATGCAGCTTTCAATCGCCACGTCAGATTTGGAGAATTAATGTTTTCTGTTTTTTAACTTTAGAGCCAAATAGCTGAGAAGGGACGGGAGCTGAAGGAGCTAAAGGACACACTATCACTTTTTGTTAAGGACAAGGAAAAACTGGAGGGGGTTAGTGACTGCTTTCATTTTCGCTTTTATTGACTTCTACAGCTCTAAAGAAAACTCTGAAAAGTGCTATTCTTTTGCCATTTTCCCACTCCCAATCTGGACTGTGTTTAACATGCCTCTAATTGTAGAAGCAAGGTAAATGAGTTCTTATTTTCCATTCCATTACTTTAGACCACAGTAAGCTCCTCACTGCCCTAAAATATGGCTTTGAGGTAATGCTTTAACATTTAAGAGGAGCAGAAATACCCAATTTGAGGTTTAGACTGTAAATTAAATTGGCGTCTGCAACTAACCTCAATAAAACACAGCGTCCCATTCCCTTTGAAAATGAGAAGAGTTTCTGCTTTAATGAATGCACTAATTAAAATGTTTCTGTGAGCCAGAGAAAAGCAAAGATTCACAGCTCTGGAGCTGCTGGGTGATTGGAAACGTTAACTAAAAAGATTAAACCAGATATTTGGCTCCCTGGAGAAGATGCTGATTCTTATGGTGCTATTTGATGTTGTAACTGGGCTTTGCTGGTGTCAAATATTGTCGAGATGTTGCTGTTTCCACCCCTTAGGATCTCCAGAAAGGCACCAGGAAGGGTGATCAGGGCGTGGGTGAGAAAACCAGTCCAGACGTCACACAGTCCAGTGTGCCTTTATTCCTGCAGTATCCTGTCCCTTACGCCCAGGATGCCCCGACCCCTCTGCTGGTATCTCAGAGCCCAAGCAAGCTGCAGTTTGGAAACCCTTACTCCCCCTCAGACTCAAAAGGTCAGTTTTTCTTAAATAACACATTTCTGTTAAGTTATACAGTAATTACAGACGCATTTTTATGTACGCTTTGTCTCTGAATTCTCTCCCTTGCAGATGAGGAAGATGAGGAGTTCTCAGATGACCAGCTGCTGAGGCTGCCCCCTGTGGGCCCACCCTCCTGGGACAGTAATGTGGTGTGTATCCAGCCCACACGCAATTCCAGCAGGCCAGAAGGCCATGAAGAATCAGAGGAGAAGCAGAACAACAACAATGTAAGCCTCTCAGACTGAGAATTATTTTTGCTTTGTACAGTGTTCAGAAAATTTGTTTTTTTTTCCCCCTTACGTTTGAACCTATTGTTGTTTTTATTAAAAATGCCGTTTTTCTTTTCTCTCTCAGGCTAATACCAACGAGCAGCCTGCAGCAACTGAAACACACAGCCCATTTGTGAATGATGGACAAACTGCCTTCTGCTTTGATCCAAGGTAACACACCCTGACACGGCCCAACTTCTCATTAACGCTGTCAAAGTTTGCTGCACCCTACATTTTCTCAACCTGCGCATTGTGCCATGTGTAAAGTGTTTGTTCTGCTGCACAGCCCCTTTTGTTCGAATTAGTCAGGCAGCAGGCCACCCACATCGCAACAGACAGATGCTCTTTATTAGCCAGCACTCCTGGCCTGCCCACATCATCACTTGCCTGCTTATTAACTGAAGCTTTCTCTCCCTGCCTTCTTCTTCTTCTTCCCGTGTGCAGCATGGACATGAAGCGGTGTCCACTGTGCGAGGTCATCTTCCCGCCCAACTACGACCAGAGTAAGTTTGAGGAGCACGTGGAGAGCCACTGGAAGATTTGCCCAATGTGCAGCGAGCAGTTCCCGCTGGACTGCGACCAGAAGGTGTTTGAAAATCACGTGCTCACTCACTTTGACGGCCACCCGCTCAACTTTGATTAGAGAAACATAAAAAAAATCTGCACATCCTGTCAGCCTACTTCCTGTCGCCAACGAAATAATTCCCTGCACATTTTTCTGCATGTAATGGTGTGAAGATCCAGTCTTTAGGACTATAACGACTTTCGCTTTGTTACTCCAGCTTAGAGAAACACTTTGAATTGATGTGACATTTTAAAATGTTCTAATTCGGTGTATGGGTCAGGGCTTCTGAATCTGTTGGCAGATCAGACAATTTTTTTTATTATAGGTGAAATGTTTCCCTTCAATTGGATTTGAAGACTAATTTAAGATGATAATACTGTTTTAAGAATAAATACTGACTTTAAATGGACTCAGCTTTTAGCCTGCAGGATGTAACGAATCAGGGACAGAGATCAGTGTTTACCAAACTTACATTCAAGACATCAAACCAAATGGTCCCCCCTTAAACATCACTGTACAAGAGATTTACTCATTCTTTATAAATAGCAGCCTTGGGGCACTGAATGCAGTCAGGGAGAAATCATCAGTGATTATACATTATATCATCAGATCATCTATTTTAGAATAATTAAAGCCAATGACATTGTGAAAGCCTTGATTTTTTGTTTATCATAGGTTTGTGTTCTGTTAGGTTCACTTTGTTTTGATTTATTTGTTTTTTGTGTCTTTAAGAACTTTCATATCATCAGCTAATCAGTGCATGCTGAGCTTATGTTAAACTTCCTTCTGTTTATTTCCTTCTTTTAAAGCATTAAGTTATTTTACTCATAGAAATATCTCATTGGTAAGGTGAGTTTCATGTATCAAATATAAACTAATAAAGTCTGTTCGAAACTGACTCGTGTCCAAACAGTTAATAACTCAAACGTCTTCAGGCATAAATCAGAGGATTTTTTTATTCTAGATGTAACAAAAGTTGACATGAAGCAGCTTTTTAAAGAAATACAGTACATCAACAAGACGTTTTCCAAACAACCTCTGAGTTTGCCTGTTCATACACTTGATACTTTTGATTTTTTTTTTCTTCAGAGACATATGAAAATATAATTTAATGCACTTAACACATAATACATTCACTGTACACTATATCAAACACTTTCCTCCACACTGGCAGTATAATACTGTCACAATCTCAATTGGACCTTAGTTCCTTTACACAAACATCATGCTGTGAGGATGTTAGAAAATGGCTAGTTTTTGATAAATCCCTTGTCCTGTGGTATTATCATCTGTATGGTCTTCATTGGGATTTATTGATTTCAGTACCCTCAACTGACATTACATTTTATGGCACAAAGTCAGAACTGGGAGGGTTTCCTCAAAGACCATCATCAGGACTGCAAGAGTGAAAATGTGCTAAATGATCTGCTGTAATTATATTCATAACCATGACTTTGACATGTTTTATAGGACTGTGGAATGATGAATAACAAGAAAATTAGACTGTGATGTCTGTGTAATGTTTGCTTACAATTGAATTTGTGTGGCATTCAAAATGAAGCTGCACTGAATGGAATGGTTTACAAATGAAGGCAACGGTTGTACAGACAAAAATCTCCCAATACTGGAAACACTATAGATTTGGTGCACATCTGCCCTGGGAGCATTTGAAACGTCTGCTCTGAAGGCCTTTTGACTCATTTTGGTTGTTACTGTACAAACAACTAAAATGAGATATTGGCAAAAAAAAATGCTTATTTGTTGGCAACTTGTTACAAAAAGTGCATCAATCCTTCACCCCTCAAAATAGAGAGGGAAACTGCGCAAGTCATCAGAAAAGTGACCAGGAACATAAGAAACAATGACGCACAGAGTTCCCACTATCCCACTAAAACATGATCAGAACACTTGGGCAGGACAGTGGGGCTGAAATGCTTGAAAAACGTCACCTGAGATCATCCTTTGGTGCTCACACACAGATGAAGGCAGTAAAACAGATGACTTAAAGAGGTTTGGAATACTTGTGATATGAAAAAAAAAGTCCAACAAATTAATACTATAACATTCAATCTAACAGGTAATGAAACATTTAGATTTTTTTTTCAGCTTGGATTTCTCTTGCTATACCACACACATTGTAATTTTTGTCATTTGCTCCTAACAAATATTTTGATAACCAGAGGCAATCTAATGATGCTCTCCCTTTTTCCAAAAGAACAATGGTGTCATATAGATCAATCAAAGCTTAAATGTGCAAAATACAAAACTGTGAACTACATAAAGATTCAACATTCTGAATTAAAAAACAAGAACGAATAATATCACATCTATACCATGCAATCAAAAATAGTGTCATAACAAAGTGGGACAAAGAAGAGAGAAAGGGTTTCAGGATAAGAGGAATGAGAAATAGCCATTGCTGGTGATAGTGGCTTTCAGATGTTGGGGAAGTTTCCTGAAGGAGAATGCTGGTCGCTCACTCCGTCTCTACTGCTGCATCTTACGGATCATGTCGGTAGAGATGGGTGGGTGAAAGTTGATGGTGTGGTGGCGGAGACCCTGAGACGTTTTGTAGCTCTTCCCACACCGGCACTTGAAGGGTTTGCGCACCCTTATCTGGGTTCGATGGCCGTTTTTGGCGTGATACTTGATCCCGTTCACATTCTGTAATGAAGCAAAGAAAATGAATCATCTTTTACTGAGTTTTCCACATCTGTGTCATTTGTATAATGTCAACCATAAGAGGTAGAAATTTACAAGTGGGCTTGAGACACTATCTCGTACATTTCTACAAAAGACGTTGCCGTTTGATATAAAGCTATCAAGGAGAAATAAAGTGTGTTCTTGTTACAAATCTGCCTTGTTCTGCCTCTGAACAGATGCCTAATGCTGCCTGCTGCCACAGACTAAGTCATCGCCCATAACCCTGTCATTCACGTCAGCAATGCAATTTTCTCAAGCTGCACATAATTTATCCCAACCACACACACCAGATGTGAATGGAAAATCCCGTAAAACTCCACATCACTGGAGTGGACTGGATGTATGCATCTATGTTGACATGCTGTAACGCTCCACCATGGGCGGATTTTCCGTTGTCAACAGCAGGGGCTCTATTTTGATTTCACATTCTCATTTGTGTGAGAAAAAAAACAAAAATCCCACACTTTGCACACTAATTCATTTGTATTAAATGTACAGCATTCTCCTGCCTTGTATCTCTTTTTACAGCCTGGTACGGGGCAGGCGAAAGGCTTCTCGTCTCCTCCGTTCATGCACATGGAGCTGAGGATAGACTCGGAGCTGATGGCGCTCTCTGTGGTCCACGACTCATCGCTGTCAGACTCCTCAAAGTCTACCTCCTCCTCATCACACTCGCTACCTGTTGAAAGGGGAAACACAAAAAGTAACTGACTCATAAAGATCTCTTCCAACATGCAATCATACACATTTTTCTTTCCTTCTCTACTTGGTGACTAATCACTGACGATAAAATTCTTGCTCTTTGATGCTTCAGTCAGATAATTGTGTGCCATTCTCAACATACGTGCCCCGGTACTTCAGTGTTCCCATAATCTCCATTTCATGTGCAACAGTGCCCAGGTTTTTAGAAAAGACTGAAATATGTCAGTTGTGGGAAAGAATTGATGCATTTACTGTAATGAGGTTTAGGGGTCAATGAGCTGCAAATACTCAATCCCTTACTTAAGGATATTTTCCAGAAGAAGCGATAAAAAACCACAAAAGCTGCAAAACAGACGTAACTTTAAAGTATGCAAACTTAACGGAAAACGTATGAGTACATGGGAAAGATCACCAAAAATAGTTTTTCTGTTAAGCAATCTTCACTGTGGTAAACAAGACAAATCAGTTGGACTGTGAGAACCCAGCGTTGTTTCTATTGCTTGAAAGCGAATCATGTTTGACAAGCCCTCCTGATGTTGTGAGAAACATTTAAAGTGAACGTATCAATAAAGTAAGTCAGCGAAAGCATTTAGGGAGAACATCTATTTTATCAGTTAAAGGGATAAAGGGTTTTCTACTAGCAAATACAAATAAAACTTGTCCTTTTCATTTTCATTTGCCATTTCAGCGATGATAACAGACTACGTATTTTTTGAATCTTCAACCATTTAAAAAGTAAATGTAGGGATTCAAATGTAACTTTGAGCCAGTGCCATTAACTACAGCTGAGCACAAGTTTTGTGAAACTTGTCTCACTCTTTGTGTCAGTCCGTCAATAGTGGATATCTAACCAGGAAAGTGATTGTAAAGGTTGCTGACGTACCTGTGGGAGTGTTACTGCGGAAAGAAGAGGAAGGGGTGATGGGTGGGGTGACTGGAGGGGTGAGGTTTCCACTGGTGTGGCGAGGTGGAGTGGACACACTGGTGCGGGACAGACTGCCTGCCAAAGACAGAGACAACTTAGGCTGCACCTTCTTCTTCAGGGTGTCGTGCTCTCGCCGCGCTGCCTCTGTCATGAACCTGGCATTGTGAGATATCAGACCGAGTCAGCATTTGCAATATTTGACAAGAAAACGGGCGATCTTGTTTAAATGAACACTGGATGATGTGTTACTGCGGGATTGCCTTTCTGTTAGCAAAGTTCTGCCGTTGATGGTTTGCTCCTGTTTAGCACATGCTTGGAAAAAGAATATCATTGGCTCTGCTCTCATCAAAAAAAACAAAAAAAACACCAAAGTTTATGATGGATAGTAAAGTCTTTGGTAAATGTGTAACATAAAATGAAATGTTAACATAGACATTGTAAAAGCAGAAGTGGAATTAACAAATTAAGCTTTAACCACATCAAGATGTGTTTGTGCAGGCAGGGAGACAGCAGCAGACCTTCTTGAACACTGGCTTGTTGCCACTAAAACCACTATTCAAGCACCATATCAAAGACGACAGGGATGAACCTCGAGCAATAAAACAAACCAATTACCAAATACAGAAGCAATTCATCGAAGCAAACCACCAGACGACATTTGAGATCACTGGTTAAACCTCAAAGGAGAAAACTCTCCTAAGTGCACAGCAGAAACACTCACTGATCGAGACGACTTGAAGATCATATTTTACCCGGCCAAAGATTCATAACTTTAATGTTATTGTTATTTTAGATTGACTTATTGAGTTATATTCAGCTGCTTTCACTCTCTATAATGGTTGTATTTTTTACCTGTTGATGTAGCTAAGGGCAACATATGTCGGCTGCTGCAGCTCCTGCTTCTCCAGAAGACGGGGGTCTGTGTCTGAGCAGAAGAGAGAGGCAGAGAGTCCAGAGATTAGCCACAGAATATAAATGTCAACATTGGCTAATTTTCTAGTTTACCAAAAAAATGCAAATCTTATCATGTAATAGAATATTCGTGTGTTTGCATTTGTGATGCCCAAATTCCACCTAAACTAGTCTTTGCACTGGTTGGTTTACACTAGATCACACCCCTCTCAAAATATGCATCCTTGCCAACCGGAGATAATGAGTGTAGTGACAGAGTGGATCGGTCTGGAGAGCAAGTCATTTCTTCTTGCGCAACACAGACACAGTGTAAAAATGCACAGGTGGGGTACTTATACATTTACTTTATTTGATAGGTGATGCAATTAAAATCTGTATTTTAATTTAGATATTAAGGTAGATAAACAGCAGATAGACATACGCAAAACAAATCCAAGTTTCAGAATTTCAATACTTTTGCACTAGATGTCCAAAATGTGATGCAGCACAAAGTAGTAGGAAGTAATCTCTCCCTCTGCCTTAAAAATAACTTTTACATTGTTTATTTTTGGCTATCAGAGGCTACCTCGTATCTTCATGCAGCATCAAAAGATATATCATTAGAGCCCATTATGAGTTAACACATATCTGAAAAAAAAAGAACTCCTCAGTACATAAATTAAATGATTGGTTGTGTCTTTTGGATGTTGTTGGTAATTATAAAGTACACATTTGCCTTACATTTGTCTTACATCAGTGTGCACCTGAGCAGTGAGCAGCACCTGAGCAGTGAGCAGCACCTGAGCAGTGAGCAGCACCTGAGCAGTGAGCAGCACCTGAGCAGTGAGCAGCACCTGAGCAGTGAGCAGCACCTGAGCAGTGAGCAGCACCTGAGCAGTGAGCAGCACCTGAGCAGTGAGCAGCACCTGAGCAGTGAGCAGCACCTGAGCAGTGAGCAGCACCTGAGCAGTGAGCAGCACCTGAGCAGTGAGCAGCACCTGAGCAGTGAGCAGCACCTGAGCAGTGAGCAGCACCTGAGCAGTGAGCAGCACCTGAGCAGTGAGCAGCACCTGAGCAGTGAGCAGCACCTGAGCAGTGCACACAGTGGCAGGCTGGCGATGAACTTGGAAAGTCTCAGGTATGAATGTGAGGAGTCAAAGAGCACATAGGCTGAGGTTATTCAACAGATAAAGGCTAAATGCGGGTACGGTCTAATGTGGAGTACAATAAACTGTAGTATGATACCATGCGCCTTTGTCTAGAAGACTACAGCCAGTTTAGTTTAGCTGGAGAAGCTATTCAGTTCTAAAGCGGATGCTGGTTTACTCCATCTAAAGAAATATACTAACAGTTGAACAGTGTGCTTCAGACTTCTTTCCTAATTGTAAAATGCAAAAAGAAATATGCTGCTACACCGTTACTTTTATTCAGACTATAGAGGAGAAAGTAACATCTCGAGTGCCTCTCTCTTGAGTTTCCATGGTACTTTTTGTAAATCTGCACAGCAGACACCACATTGCTCATACATGACCACACTTGACACATACTGTGTTTCCACATGCTGTGCTCCAGACATTCATCTTGCTGAGCGGTGCTAAATGTACAACAATAGCCAATCTCCACACCCTGAGGTGAAGAAGGCCTGACTTCAAACACTCCTCGTTCTGCCATCCATGTGGGAGAAGAGCGATGCCCTATAAAACAACAGTGTCGACCACTTCCCAGCTGAGCCTCACTGTCTGCCTCTGACAGAGCTGTGAAGGGCTGCTACCCCCATGTGGTTAAAACTAATGCCTGTTTCCATCCACAAGCTCATTTATACACAACACAAACACCTCAGGCTGTTTGTAACATTCAATTTTAAAATGTGCTTTCTATGGCACAATGACTACAGGCAGCTTTCAGAGTAACTGCTCATTCAGCAAGTAAATAAAAAGAAAGCAGTCATGGTTGATCAAGTTTCACAAAGATAATGATACAAAACATATGAAACTATAGCGTAATTGAAGTTTCTTCCTTAAAGGGGTAAGCAACACCTTTGTAAATCAGTAATAAAACCCTGAGTCATACTCAATTATAACCTAAAGCAGGTTTAAATGGCCTCCTGTTTGTTTGTAAGACCGAAACAAAACACCTTAAAACAGATTTCCATTTAGAAAATACAATAAAAACGTATTATAATAAAAAAGTGTTAAAAAATGGTTTCCAGTTCATTTCTGATTAATTGAATGTCCAAGTTTCAAGTTAATTTATGTTGAATTGAATGAGCCTGAGCGAAAGAAGAACGTATTAGATTTTGGTTGTGTTTCTATAAAAGGACAATTTGTTTTTCACTGTATAAAGAACATCAACACCTCTTGTTTATTCACTGAGATGCCTTTCATACAAACAATGAAGTATGAAACGTTGAGATGAAATGCTGCTTTGCTTTTAATTTTATGAACTAAAACAAGGATTTTGGGTGACACCGGTAGCCGAGTGGTTTTTGCACACATCGCATGTACAGAGGCTAAGGTCATCCAAACAGGTGGATTCGGACTCCACTGCAGAAACTCTAAATAAGGGCATAAATAGATCAAAAATAAACCTTTAAATAAAAAAAGGGATTTTGGCAAATTTTGCTTTCATTTATTTCATCATTAAAGATTTTGTTTAAAAAATGTGTCAGTTTCTTTAATGGCAAAAAACAATTTAGTGGAAAAGAGTAACCCTAAAAAGTAATGATTAATTCAAGAAAGGTCACCTATATCAGAGAATTTCCATTGATACCTGCTGACTTTTGTATTCTTCAATGTTGTTATATAATCTCACTGTTTATTTCCGAACTGACTGTCAAAATGATACCTTAGCAGGTTTCACATTTATTTAATTCTTATTTAAGAGAAATGTCAACTTCTCTTTGTATCTTAAGCCAGAAATTAGAAATCTGTGCCAACTGAAACACGGACAGAATCTTAACCTGTTTGTATGAGTCAGCACATTGTGTATAGACCCTTTTAGTGTTAGTAAACAGTGTGACTATATAGTAAATATATACTCTTCATATACATAGACTGTATATTATTTACAGTCTATGCTCCAGACATGTAAACCAAAGCTAGCTAGTAAGTTGTTTTTGGCTTGCATTCGACATAGGTGGAAGAAAATATGAGTCTCTCTGTCTACGTCGCCTACTATCTGGCGATGTAGTTTAGCTCCGTTTTGCCTCCTAATGCTGTGACGTCATTGTAATTTGGGCCTTAAAAGGGTCTATAGATTGTAAATGTGGACCCACACGTGTACACATGCAACGATCCAATAAGAAATAACACAGCTCATGCTGCACACTCAATTTCAGCAAAATAAACTACTGGCTTAGGTGAAGGTGAAAGTTGATATTGACCAGTAATACTCAACCCAAACCACATATAAGTGCAAATGGTAAATGGACTTGGAAAGCCCAAGACTACTCTTCTGACCTCTCAAAGCTACATGTCACAATCACCCATTAACAACACATGTACACACTGATGGCAGAGGCTGCCATGTAAAGTGCCCAACAGTACTATTCAGTTAGCACACATTCACATCTCTGGCTATGCAACAGGAGCAATTTAGGACTCAGTGTCTTGCCCAAGAACCCTTGCAGGAGCAGGGGATCCAACACCTGACGTTCTGGTTGAGAGACGACTGACTCTACAAGTAGGGCACAGACGTGAGAAAGTCAACAAACTGTCACTGACGTCAGTCCAACTGGAGAGTAGACAAGGGTAATGGAAGAGACAAAACCTGCAAACCACTCAAGGCGGTTGGTGATGAAATAGTGTCATAATTTTATGATACTGGCAGGCAGGCTGTAAGAGAAGCTTAAACCTCAGCGCCTGAGGCTCAAGAGGTTTCCCTCAGGTCCTGAGTCGTAAGCAAGTGTTTCATTAACGTTGGATTTATCCCCAATGTGACGGACAGCACATCTCTCTTCACTCTTCAGCCAAAGTCGTGAAAACACCAAGTAGGAAAGACATGTTCATATAACAACTTTACTCCAATGCCAGAAGCTGGAGGCAGTGCACAGACTATTCTGAGCTCTGTGTGTTAACATGTGTGAGCGTAAGTGCACACAAAATCCCTCCAAAGATCCCTAATGAGCTTGGAGAAGTGGCATGGCAGCCTGCTCACAGACCGCTCAAACAGCAGCGGATCAGTCTGTTCCCACACGCTGTAAATCAAACACACTTCAGGTGGGGACCGGGGCGAGGGAGGCCTGCAGGGGCCAGACCCCCACAGACTCTGCTGTTCTTGGGGCCACCAGCAGTCATGGACCAGGATGAAGGCGCCTCATGTAGAGATGAGAACCCTTTAATGAAACTACACAGGTGGTCCACCATGGTGGCAACTGTAAGAGGCCTTCTGGGAAACAAAATATGCTATTTATTCACCATGGCTTGTTCCAGAACAAACAATCACTTCCTATACACTGCAGCGATTGTTTATGTACAAGATCAAAAGTCAGGTGTTGGATAAATAAGATGTCGACAAGCAGAACAGATGTACATTAAAGAATGATGCATAATAGGGCCCCTTAAATTTGATTCTCAATGAAATGTACTCAAAGCTTTTCAAAGATGTACATAAGTTTAACTCCAAGAATCAACAATATTCCAATGCAGGTTTCTTTCTGTTTTCTATAAATAGCACTTCAACACGAACAGAGAAAATTGAGAACAAAAAGTCCTGAATGATAGCTATTAGAGATTATTAGAAATCGGAGAGAGAGAAAATGGGGAATGCCATGCGGGAAAGGAGACACAGGTCGGTTTTGAAACCAGGCCACCAGCTTGGAGGACTATAGCCTCCGTACTTGGGCGGGGACTACTGGACTACTGGACCATTGGGCTACGGGCGCCCCCAAGAGAAAGTCCTTTTAGTGACCAAAAAAGCAACATAATTTTTCTTCATATTAAAAAAAACCAGAAACAATAACAGTTATATTGCCATTGAATTGACCTAAAGTTATCCTTAAACAATCCTTAACCCTAACATGACACTAATCTTACT